CGCCGTGGCAAAAAAAAAGGTTATATTTATAGAGTAGGGCGTCTAGGATTATGGGATTTTTCAGCAAATATTTCTTGCCATACTTCGACTTTCTTCAATCCTTTTGGGAATGGCTAACACCTTAATTTACTTATTTTATCATGCATGAAGTTAATTTGTTTTAAACTGTAATATTTATTTTATTTGTTTATTATATTTATAAACTTTATTTGTTCGGAGCCAACTTTTCCTTGTTAAGTTAGACTAGAATTTCCCATTATTTTCTTCAGCATTTCGAAAAATTATCTTTATATGCTATAATATTGTTGCTCGACTATATTTGTGCATCCAATTTCACATATTTTTCAACATAAAAGTTTTTATATATTTTTTATAGATTATTTTCTATATGCAGCTTCCAATTTCACATATTTTTAAACATAAAAGTTTTTATATTTATTTTTATAGAACATATTCCAATTTCACATATTTGTCAACATCAATAAATATTTTTATAGAAAATTGCCTTCCAAAACATTTCAACATTCGAATTTCGAATACTCTTTCACCAAAAAAAAAACTGTCCTGTTTTTCTTTACAAAACAGTTTGTTGTTGCCAAAATATTGTTTTTTTTTTTTTTGACTGCAAAAAGTGGTCGATTTGATTTCTGCGCCTTGAGCCATATGAAACACTTGTTTTGAAAAGCAGACCAACAATTTTGTTAATCAGCTGGCAACGCCCAACAATTTGACGCCCTTTGCAATTGTTAAATTACCTCAGGAAATGGCAACAACAACAATCATTTTTATTAAACCTCGCTGTCAACTTTCACTTGAGTGCATATGGGCAAAATGCAATTGTTGTTGTAATTGAATTTCTGGTGGGGGATGTTGGGCGTGGTTTTTCCTATAGTTAGCCATAGGCATATTTTGCATAATTCCGCTGGCGTTGCTTTCTTTCATTGTATAAGAAGCAGCAGCAGCGGAAAAAACTTAACTAAAACTCGGCCACTTTTCATTTTGGCATAATGAAGAGCCGAAAGGAAGGGTTGCTTTAAGCAAGCCGAAGATTGAATACCCTTGTATATGTTGATAACATTTTGTACTTGTATGTTGGTCAAAATTTCCCAACCCCATAACTCGGTCAAATCTCATCCAATTTTCATGAGGTTTGGGTCTGTGTTCACATTTTAGCCTCTAGATAAATTTGGCATCTAAGTCTGACAACATTATTTTTGGTCGAAATTCATGTGAAAATGGTCCCACAAATATCCTATATAGACATAGGTCTAAATTTCCCATCCCCATAACTCGGTCAAATCTCATCCGATTTTCAAGAGGTTTTGATTTTTGTTCATGGTTTGGCCTCTAGATCAATTTGGCATCAAAATCTGGTAACATTATTTTTGGTCAAAATTCATGTAAAAATGCTACCCTCAAATATTCTCTATAGACATAGGTCTAAATTTCCCATCCCCATAACTCGGTCAAATCTCATCCGATTTTCATGAAGTTTTGATTTTTGTTCATAGTTTGGCCTATTAATCAATTTGGCAACAAAATCTGACAACATTAATTTTGGTCAAAATTCATGTGAAAATGGTACCCTCAAATATCCTATATAGACATAGGTCTAAATTTCCCATCCCCATAACTCGGTCGAAACTCAACCAATTTTCAAGAGGTTTTGATTTTTGTTCATGGTTTGGCCTCTAGATCAATTTGGCATCAAAATCTGGTAACATTATTATTGGTCGAAATTCATGTGAAAATGGTCCCTCAAATATCCTATATAGACATAGGTCTAAATTTCCCATCCCCATAACTCGGTCAAATCTCATCCGATTTTCAAGAGGTTTTGATTTTTGTTCATGGTTTGGCCTCTAGATCACTTTTGGCATCAAAATCTGGTAACATTATTATTGGTCGAAATTCATGTGAAAATGGTACCCTCAAATATCCTATATAGACATAGGTCTAAATTTCCCATTCCCATAACTCGGTCAAATCTTAACCAATTTTCACAAGGTTCGGGCTGTTTCAGACATATATATTGCCTGCAACAGAAAGGCGTACCCAAGCTAAGTTTCATAGCGAGATCTTTATGACTAAGAGATTAGTTTGTTAGGGAAGAGGCAGAAGGATTTGGCTACATCTTCAGGATATATACATATATATTCTCTATGGGTGCGGCTGATGTCTTTTTTCTTGCGTTACACATTTTGTAACAAAATCAGAATACCTCGTTATAAGTGTATCAAAATCAGCTAAAAGCCAGCTAACTGAAACATTTTTTCAAAGCGGGCCAACATATCAGTTAACAACAACAACGACAACTAGGAATTTCTAGTGGTCACTGAACCAACAAACAACTCGTTGTTGTTGTTGTTGTTGTTGTTGATGTTGATGTCTCCTCTAGTGTGTTGATCATCTACACGACAAATGCTTGTTATTGTTGTTGTTGTTGTTGTTGTTACTGTTGCATCGCATTTCAATTCTAGCGTGTCCCGAACTATGCCCGCACTTTGTAGCTCAGTGTATGTGCGACTAACTTATAAATTGAGCATGTTAAATGCTTCTTCTTTATCGCTGCGTCTAACTAAACTCAAATAAAAATAGGAAAAACAGAAAAACATAAAAATCAAATTGAAGAAAACGAGCACATTAACAGATTAACAGCCAACGATTCGCTTTGATCTCGGGAGGCCAATCGTAAAAATAAAAAAAATTGGAGACATTTCGAAAATGTAGAAAATATTCAAATTTTAGATTGCAAATGAGCCTAAAATCGTTTTCTGATTTGTTTCAGTTGCAGCGGGAAAAAACAACTTTGGAAGTTGCGTTTGCTAAAAACATGAACATCAATTATTTATTGATCTTTTATATGTTTTTTGTCGTTAATGAACCAGGCTATAATTGCTCAGAAGTCTAAAATAGTTCTCATTTAGTTTATTTTCTATTATAAATAATATGTTGTAATATGCAATAAACATATTTCAAATGGTTCACCAATCTATCTGTGCATAGAAATCTATTTGTTATAGAAACCTGAACTGATTTGGATTTCATTTTGGTAAATTTCGTACAATTTTTTTGGGCTTCTACTATAGAAAATTGTCAATTGCAGAACTATGTAAAATGAATTTGAATAAAATAATACCATAAGTTATATTTTTAACGAAATTTTGAATCTAATTGTTACGTTGAAGAGATTATTTTCCTCTTTGAAAAGTTCATATAAAACTTTAGTTTTATAAAAGTTTCTAGCTCATACTCTTTCATTTTTATTTATATTTTACATTACATTTTTGATATTTCAGTGTTGTAAAACATGAGCTGCAGCTTTATCTTATGCAGCTTGTAATTCTCAAACAGTTCTAGCTTCAAGCTACGCAAGTTTCAAGCAACATTTCTTCATTTTCCAATTGAATAACGATGATGAAATGTTTTCTTGACGATTTATGTTTCCCTTTAAAAATAAAAGAGTCTAAATCTAGTTGTTGCCTGACGCTCATATTATAGTGTATTTTGTAGTCTTTGCATTTATGATTAGCTTGTTTCTGCGTGTTGTTGTCGGCATTTGGTTTACTTTTTGATTGATCGCAGCGGTTAAAGCCACCAGCAGCTGGCTCCAAATGTTGTTTGTTGTCGTTGTCGTTGTTGTTGTTGTTGCTAAGTTGTTGAATGGCCACGCGATAAAAGAACTGAGATCCGTTGACTTGTGGCCACAGCTTCGGGGCAGCTGTTGTTGCATTGATGCCATTTTGTCTGCGTCTCATCAATGCATTTTCTATTGACTTCGATATGCGGAGGCATGCAACGCCTTGCGGCTAATTTGCATATCAAACTGAGTCAACGCGAGGCTTTTAGTGTGCGTTTATGTGTGTGCGTGTGTGACTCAAGTGATGCAAGGGGCTGGGCGGGTGCTTGGGGCTAGCGCTCTCAAGTGCTTTCCACTTGGGTTAAGCCATCAAAGTGCATTTGCTTTCAAGTGGATACTAAACCCCTCCTGCCCCCACCACCCCTTCCCCCTGCACACTCCACGCGCTGAAAGCGGCTTAATTTAATAAACTAATTGTGTCGTTAGAAGCGCGCACAACTTTTACCCAATGCCACTTCCTGTGGGCCAGCTACAATAAAAACAATTGTCATTCATATTGTAATTTAATGGCCCAACTGCCCCAGACATACACACACTCACACACACACACTCACACACCAAGACACACTCACACAGGGTGCCAAAGTTGCTTTTGGAGGTCGCACGTGGTATCCAAAATTTGTTGCTTTTGTGCTTCATTGAACGACTCCAGACAGCCGGAAGTATTTGGCCAATAACAATTACAATAAAAAAATCAACTTGTCGCCGTTCATTAGACAAGCCTAAGTACTCACTAAGTACAGATTCGTATAGAGAGAAAATATAATTAAGTATTTGTTAGCCTATTCAGAAACCTTGACTTTACCGTTGATCAAAAGTCGTTGGCGTTACCAAATAGAAGCCGAGTACTTTGTTTAGTCTTAAAAAGAAGCATTCGACTCATTCCAATTTATACGTACTTATGCGTAGTTTTCCATTTCCACAGAAACACACAAAAGTACTCATGAACTTAAGCACTAGTTCTCTAAAGAACTAGCCGAAAGTTGACAAAAAATTGTATCGAATAAATTTTCATAATTTTCTTTGGAAATAAGATTGAGCCCACAAACATCGAAAGCATTTTCCGACAAATTGCTGCGGATTTCGTGGGTGGAATTTTCCGAATTCGCTGAAACGCAAAGCCACTTTCCACTCTATGTGGAGTACATTTTCATAATTTTTGTCAACAATTTTCCAGTCGAGGGCTACATTTTTGCCAAAAGTGAATAAATTGACACAAAGATCTTTGTAGCTAAACGAATGATGAACGTAAAATTTACATTAATCCATTTTCGGCCATTTTTCCACGCTTGTGGGTGGAATTCGACACAGTTCGTCTCTTGAATCGTGTTAAGTAACTTTAGCTAGTCGGGACAAACTGTTCTAAATAAAATAAGTCCACATTTGATATAAGGAATGTGCCAGCGCAAATTTGAATGCTTTCTAGCTCTGTGAATTCCTTATATCAAACGGTAAGACATTTTATTTTAATAAAGGGAAATACGATAAATTTCCCTTTTCATTACGATATACACTGCACCAAAAGAATATCTAAAATAATGTATGAGTTACTCTTCTGTGGCCATGTTCAGCAGGGTTTCTTGCAATTTATCATGGAAGTAAAGCAGTAGCCGGGAAACTGCACGCACTTCAAAAGGAAATCCGAGATTTTCTGTGGATCGATTCCGCAATATGTACAATAGTTATTATATAAATTGTTGTATTTCTTAAGCTTACACCACAGGGATCAATGCACTGAGCGAAAAGATAGGTCCACACGTAGAAAAATGAGCAAAAATATGCCACAAAGAATGAGAACAACAGGAATATTATCAGCCAGAAGACACAGTAAACCGGATTACCCATATTTCTAAAGTATATTTGTAATTGAGAAATTTCGGAACTAAATATTTAGAAACGGCTTTTGTGTTGTTGTCTAAGTGAACTGCGTTTCGTTTAGATCATATTCGTATATGTAAAATTATCGAAAAGATTTCAATGTCATTTCATATAGCCTTGCAGTAAGGTATTTTATATTTCCTTTTCCGAGCCCTGATAGAAGGTGTTCACATATCTTGTTATTGTTGAATTATATTTTGAATTTTTCGAATAGCACCAAAATATTTGATATTCCCATAAAATGTAGCTCACAAAAATCAGATCAGAACGTTTCCGTACTCTTTCTGTATCTCAAGTCCCATATCATGCCATATATGATTTTATTTTTAGCATCTGTCTCTGCACAGCGGCACACAGTCTTTGTAGGTATAAAAGCAGCGACGTGGTAACTGTGCACACTTCCGAATCATATTACCATAGCTCTATAAAAGAGAACTCAATTAAAATCGATATAAAAAGGAATTTTCCATCTATATAGATGGATTTTCTTTGAGCTTACCTCACAACCGCTGCACTGCAGACAATAATATGGAATGTAAAAACATTGAAAGGCTATGTTCAAAATGTACGCAAAAACTATGCAATGTAAAACAACTGAATGAAACGGAAAATTCATATTTGCAATATCTTAGCCAAATTTTCAATAAAATATTGGTTGACGATGTCCACTGGGAAACTTGTTTTGTTTGTTTTACTGACGAGAAACTAAACAGTTTTGGAATTATGAAGCAAAGTCAATGGAGTTGTTAGTTATACTGATTTACGGATTAATCGATTACTCTCCTATAATCGATACAATTTATTGGACAGCTACAAAAACTGTAAACAATAGAAAATGTCCAATGATTCTTTTAATTAAAATTCTCTTTAACAAATATCGCTTTGTAAATTTGGTATTAGGGCGTTTAAATTCAATAGAAGTCAAGCCTGCAAATTTGGTTTGAACCAAAGCGGTTCAAACCCTAAAAAATAATTTTAGACCCAACTCGGAAAATGTTTTGGTTCACAGTAAATAATTTAGATGCCAACCATTCTATTTTATTTTTTCGCGAAAATATACACGACAAGTCTTATAAAATGATAAAGCAGGATTTGAACCAAAAACTGGGCTGATAGATGTGACAAACCAGATTCACAAGCCGAACTTCAAGGCAGTAAGCTGGTTCGAAGTCTAAACGGTACCAACGATGATTTTTAAATTTCTTAGATACAGTGTTCAAACATATTGTAATTGCTGAATTATATTTTAATATTTTGCAGCACACAAAATGTTTGGATCAGAACGTTTCCGTATCCTTTCTGTATCTCAAGTCCCATATCATGCCATATATGATTTTATTTTTAGCATCTGTCTCCGCACAGGGGCACACAGTCTTTGTAGGTATAAAAGCAGCGACGTGGTAACTGTGCACACTTCCGTATCATATTACCATAGCTCTATAAAGGAGGACTCAATTAAAATCTATGTAAGATGGATTTTCTTTAAGCTTACCTCACAACCGCTGCACTGTAGAGAATAATATGGAATGTAAATGCACTGAAAAGCTATATACCAAATGTACGCAAAAACTATGCACGATAAAGCAACTGAATGAAACGGATAATTCATATTTGCAAATATTTGCAATATCTTAGTCAAATTTTCAATGAAATATTGGTTGTCGATGTCCATTGGGCAAATGCTTTTGTTTTTTTCCATTTTTTATTATTTACAATTAATAAACTAAACAGTTTTGGAATTGAGAGGCAAAGCCAACCGAGTTGAGAAACTTTTTTATGGCATTTAGTTATAGTTATAGTTCTATCGATTAATCGATTATCGATTATAATCGATACAGTTTGTTGGGAAGTTACGAAAACTGCAAACAAATGCAAATGTCTTATGATTCCTTTAATTATAATTATTTTCAATTTCTTCTTCGCTTTTTAAATCCAATGTTAAAAGCTAAACAACAAATGGAATTGCTCAAAAATTGCATAGTTTCTAATTACTTTTGTCAATATAATCATAAATAAAAATATAAAAAGATTGTTCATTAGTAGAAACCAGTTATATTTGTGTTGATACTCACCGAGTCGAGATAAAGCTGGTATGGTGTTTATTTTTCGGCTGGGATCTTGACTTTCGATGCTGACGATGATCACTGATTAGTTTGGAAAGTCATGATGTTGTTGTTGTTGCTCTTGAAAGTCAACACAAAAATAAACTTTAAGAAAACTAGATATATATATGCGCAAGTTTCGTGAGGATGATTCTTCAAATAATTATGTAGAAAGTGAAAACACTTGAACGCTACGCGTATTCGACAAGAGAACTCGGGAGCTGTGCCTGGAAACTGACCTTAGCCGCTGCAAGGGAAATTATTTGTTAAAAAAAAACTATAAAAATTTAGTAAAGAAAGTTTATTAAAAACAAAAACAATGGGCATCAAATATAGGAAAGAATTTTTTACATTAATACTTTAAGCTTTAAGCTTTAAAAAAAACATTTATTGCTTACATTTAAAGCTTTTAATTACTTTTAAAAATTAATTTTAATATTTAAAGTTTATCTTTAAAGTATATGGGCAAATAAGTGAGTTTAGTTATTACAGTACAAACATGCTGAGCTTTAATATATTGCTGCTTTATATTGCAGCTTTAAGCATTACGTACGCTTACGCTTACGTACAGCTTTCGTAGCGTGATAATATTGTAATAGGTAAATACAATGAATGGCGTTAACAGTTATTAAAGCAATTTCTAAGCTTTAAGCGAGCTTTAAGTGTAGCTTAAACATGTATACAAATGAAGCTTTCAGCATTTACTCGAACAATTTAAAGCTTTCAAAGATCTTTTAGTTGGGCTTATTCTTGAACACAACCAAAGCAGCAAGCGAGCTTTGCAGCAAGCGAGCTTTAAGTGTGGCTTCAACTTACTTAAAGCTCTTCAAAGAGTTCCAATCTTTAAGATTTTTGCAAAATGATTTCCTTTTATTTAGTAGCTTTTTGGCTCACAAATGTACTTTCGCTGCATTTCTTATCCTCATTTAACACAAATTAAGCAAATTAGCGGCCCACTTGTTGTTGTCAACTTAGTTGGCCAGCAAAAATTGAGATTGTGTCGCTGGCAAATAGACATTTACCCAGAAACTGTGTGTGCACAGTGCATTAGCCAACATACACAAATGGGCGAATGCTCTGTTGGCTTTATAAATTCGCACCAATTTTTTGGCCAATAATCTGGCGAACAACTGCAAACGCACAGCTACAACATTTACTTATGTCTACATCCATGTTAATATATGCAAATGGATATTTTTATAACAAATTGCCGCCACTTGCTAGCCGGCAGCGACGACGACCCGGCCAAAAGTGTGCCAGGAGCCAAGTGCCAGAAAGTACGTTAAATAATACGAGAATATAAAAAAGAAAAAGAGAAGAAGAAGCGGAAAAATACACCCTAAGCGAGATGACAGCCGACGATTTAAAAATAAAATTGCATTATGAATGCATTTGCCTGTGCGCAGCGCCTTTTGTATGCAGTTGCAATTTACTCAACGCTAGACAAAACTAGAGCTGCCGCGACTATTAAATACCCTGTGCAAATGTGCCGAAAAACAAACTAAGAAAAGCCTACTTCTGTAAATTTGAAAGATACAATTGGAGCTGTAAAAAATAATAAATTTTTGTTCTTTAAAATAAAATTAAAAAAAATCTTAAATATTGAAATTTAACTTGATTCTCAAATTAACTGTATAAAATTAGATATTTCTTTTAAGTTTAATAAAAACATTGAAATTTTCAATATTTAAAAATTAAACTGGTTTCTTATTTATTATTATTGCTTGAAGAAAAAAAATGAAAATTCAGTTAAATATGTGAATTCTGAAATGTCAAGGTTTATAAAATACTTAATAAAGTAATTAATAATTTAATACAGTTAATTTAATGCTTGCACAGAATATCGCCCAAATTAAAGATTATTAAAATATTAAAAATAAAACTTCGACTTAAAGATAAAAATATAAATAATACATTTTCACTCTATTTTTTTTTCAAATGGTTTTCTTTTCTTATGCTTACGCATACGCACACCCTAGTCGCAGTTCACCCAGGCACTCATTTAATGTTTACAGGGTATGTGAAGGACACACAAATCTATGTAATACTAAAATTATTTTGTGTTTTAAAAGATTTTTTTTAAATAAAATTCGTTGTCTCTTATATTTTCGCATAGCCACTCCCTAGTCGCAACTAGCCCAGGCACTCATTTAATGTTTACAGGGCATTAAAGACACACAAATCTATGTCAAACATCTAAATTTGTTTTGTGGCCCTGCGCAGTTTTTATGAAATTTACTGGAGCGAATACGGGGAAGAATAAATATTTCAATGACATCATTGAGTTTTCCTTCTCTTGTGTTTTCCTCAAAAAAAAAATGCAAATTTGTGCGTCAAAGGAATTCTTTAGATTATATATAGAAAATAGAAATAATTACAAATCTTTTAAATATAAATATAAATATATTTTATAGCCTTTGCTTGTATTTAGTTCATATAAAGGCAGCTGCTCGCTTTAATGACTGCCTAACATGGCTGAATAACCCCTCCTCCCCCGCCACCCCCTCAACTCCTCACCCCCTCGCAGCACAGTTTATGTCCGGCAGACCTCAACCCTTCCTTTTGTTGTTGCTTTTAATGGTGCACAATTTTTTATATTTATGTGCGGCACATTAATAAAAAAGTAAAAAAAAAAGTGCTTTCGCATGGCAATGGTTAATTTTATTGACCAGTTGGTTCAGTTGGTTCATTTGGCTGAGTTAGTTCAGTTCAGTTCATTTCAGCTCAGTTCACTTCAGTTCAGTTCAGTTCAGTGAGTGCATTCACCTCCTGCATTCGCTTTTATGGCTTTGCAATAGTTGTGGCTATTTGAATGCGCTCATAACTTCCCATTCGTCCATTTGAATAATCAAATTTGCAATTTGTGAAGTTCGCTTTCGGTATTTAGTGCGATCATTAATTTTCGCCGGCCAGACATATCATTTTATGGCTGTGTGGCAAATTAATTTCGAGACTGCAAAAATCAC